TAACGGTAACCGGTGCTTTTTGTATGGAGTTTGACAGATTTTTGACGTTTGTTAAAGTTACAGTCTAATGGTGCAACTCAGCCTTAGACTGGAAAAGTGTTCTAATGTTAACTCTACATTTATGGCTCGATTTAAATTTCTAATTTTACAGGTTTAGGAATAAAAGCATAAGATAAATATCTGACTATCATCGTGCATGACAGCTAAAAATATTTTACAACTATACAAAGTTAGTTTAAGGTCTTATTAGGACTTAAAAGTTATCTGACGATTGAAAAATCAGCCCTAAAGAAGGTGTAAATAGAGCGGCGACACTAGGTTTTTAATTTAATTTTCAATGGCTTTTACTTACATTTTTACTTACACATATATTTTTACTTCATTGACATGTCTATCACTAATTAACTTACAATTTTAACAAAATATTTTGAACTAGCTTTTGCCCGCGGCTTCATCCGCGTGAAATTTCATTTGTCACCGATCGTCATAAATTATAGCCGTCAAAAAGATCGTCATAAAATATGTTAATCTGGGTTATAAACAATAACACTGTAAAGTTTCATCAAAATCCGTTCAGTAGTTTTTACGTGAAAGAGGTACAAATATAATATTAGAGTAGGCGCACACCGTTGATTTTTCGTCGGCCGATAGTTTAGTCGGGCAGTTGATCAGTATGGGCATTTATGGGAGTGCGCACACTACGCATTCGATTTGGCCGATTCTTCATACAATTTAAAATCGGGCACAACTATCGGCCAATTAAAAATCAACGGTGTGCGCCTACTCTTAGTAGGATAGTAGGATCTCAGTTTTGATGCGGCTCCTTGTCGTTAGAGGGCGTTGTTTTACTTTTAAACGAATGCCGATTTGCCATGTTCCCAGTCCCACGTTCGTAAAAATAATGAAATGCAAATACCTAGTTATTGTTTAAAAAAACCACTGGAACAACCAGCACTTACATTAAATCTACACTAATATTATAAAGAGGAGAACTTTGTTTGTTTGTTTGGTTGTAATGAATAGGCTCAAAAACTACTGGACCGTTTCTAAAAATTCTTTCTCCATTCGAAAGCTACATTATCCACGAGTAACATAGGCTAAATTTTATTTTGGAAAAAATAGGGTTCCGTAAAATATGTAGATAATGTAGTCCACGCGCGCGAAGCCGCGGGCGGAAAGCTAGTAAATAATATAAAAGTAGTTGATGCCGAAAATAAAGATTTGAGTGGATTTTTGTGATAAACCAAAAATGTAAAGCACACAGGACTTGAGATGTCATAAAAATATTACATAACACAAAAAAACCCAGGAGATTTTTTAAGTAAAACGCATGTTATCAGGTGTTAAATACATAGAGTTATGTTATCTATGTCATTTTTAAATGTCCAACAGACAACAAATTACTTTTTACGACGTTTTTCCAGAGTTTTTTTAAAAATCTAGAAATTTTCAAAAACAAAAAGTGTCTTTGTTCATCCAGATGAATTAACTAGATAAATCGACAAGTCTCATGATTTTTTGCCCTTTAGTTTTGACAGGATTTTTCGAGATTTTTTTTAAAAGTAGTTAGATGTCATAGATGTAGGGTTACAAAGGAACAAAGCAGGCGACAGGGCATCGCCCTGCATCTGCCCATTAGTTGGCTTAATTAGTTATCGGTTACAGGTCGCAGCGCGGACTGAGATTCACGCTTACACGCGTTTGGGGGGGTACCGTCAGCAGATTACTGAGCTGGTCGCCATAACAAAAAAGGGTTTATTCATCAAATTTGGTACAGTTTTAGGCCTGGTTTCCACCAATACGGAGCAGAGCGGAGAAGTGTTGTGAATAGCCAATCAGACAACCGCCTCTGTGGTCTAGCGGTAAGACCACCTGCTTCAGACGCAGAGGTCCCGGGTTCAATTCCCAGTGGGGGCAGATTTTTCTGTTCGGTTTGGTTGGTGGTAGGGCTTGTTCTAAGTCCGCCTGGCTAGCTACCACCATCTTACCTAAGTCTGTCGCCATAACAACAATGTTAACAGCATTATTGTGTTCCGGCAGTTAGAGGTAAGATAGCCAGTTCTTCCGTGGTTGAGGATTCCGGGTGAAGCTCGCTTCCACCTTCGGCCTGATCGTCACTTACCATCAGGTGAGATACAGGCCAAGAGCTTCCTCGTTGTGCATAAAAAATATTTCACTATTTCCACTTCTCTTCTCCGCTCCGCATAGTTCATGAAAAAACACATAAAACTCATTTAGTTTTGCAAATTGGCTTTTAAAAAGCACTTTTACACGTCCCCGTATTAACCCTACAACTGCTTCGAGACATTAAATGGGCCAGTGCTGAGAAGAAGTAGCGCAAGAAAATCAGTCACTTTGTCGCTGAAAAACGATTTCCATAACGACCAGTCCTGTTCTACCCGCATCCAGGTAAATTCCCGCAACCTTCACCAGATCTTGGTTATCTACTGGGAGGCCTGCCCACACTACGTCTTCCGGCCCGTGGTCACCACTCAAGAACTTTTCTGCCCCAACGGCCATCAGCTCTGCGAGCTATATGAAATAATTTTTACTTATTACATTTTGACCAAAAGCTTGACCTATACCTTAACTTGAATTAGTAAATTTTGTAAAAGTCAAAAAGTTGTCCAAGGGCTCTGTGCAAGTGTGCATGTCTCCTCATTTTAGGCTCTACCAGCGCTTCCTCCTTCTTTCCCTATTTCATTAACCTAAGGGAAATGTAGAAATTTGCCCTGAATAGAGCCTACATGCACTTGAATAAGAATATTCAGTGCTAGCTGACCCAGCAACCTTTTTACCGCCAATAAAAATTCATCAGGGATAGGTAATGTAGAATGGTAATTTTTTTTTCAAATCGGTCGAGAATTTTCGGAGCTCAATACAAACAAACAATCAAATTTCTCTTTATAATATTAGTGTAGATTCGCCAGCAACTAAATACGTTTTGCCCAACGCCTGCGGACGGTCCCACGAGATTGCCCAGCGGCACGGAACCACCGATTGGGCAATTACCCGACCCGCGTGATGATCACAGGCTCAGGCGCGCACGCCTTTGACGAATTAGAAAAACGTTACGTTCGAAATTTGAAAAAATAACGGCTTTTTTATCCCTTTGACGAATTAGAAACACGTTATGACGTTACGTTCGAAATTTGAAAAATTTTACGGCTTTTTTGGAATTGGAACGGCTCGCTGATTATTATGGCGGTTAGAACTTTTTTGTGTGTTACTGGCCAGCAAAATAAATACTTTGGGTTGGGTTATCAGGGCTTGTTCCTACAGTTCCCATCCATCCCGTTTTTTGCAGGGACTTTTTTGCGGAATCGCATTTATTAGTACCTATCAAGGTGGACCGACGACATCGTAAAGGTAGCAGGGAACCGCTGGATGCAGGCCGCTACCAATCGATCAACGTGGAAAGCATTAAGGGAGGCCTATGTTCAGCAGTGGAAGTCCTATGGCTGAAATGATGATGATGATGATGACGTATTTCAAACACACATTTATGTATGTTCACACGACAGTCCAGTTTTGCGTGACCCTGCATTACTGAATCCCAAAAACCGGTTCGCTGGGGAACAAACCCTTACACCCGTGTTCACAAACGATGCTTGTTTAAGTGAAGCAGCAAATTGAACGTACAGCTTTGAATAGAGCTCTGTGATTGGTTCGCGTGTCACCCTGTGCGTCCACGCGCACTGTGAGACCTCATACTAATGTTTGTGAATACGGGCGTTAGTTTAAGTACTAGTTAGTCGTTTACTACAATCTAACTAAAACCTTATTATTATTCTGTGCTAAAACGCTTAATGATTACATTACCTGTTGCTAACATCCAAAGCATAGGATCCAGGGCGATAAAAGTAAGTCTCTCGTCTGATGCGAATCGTGAAGAAGATTATTGGCTTAGACTTAAACACTTCTATGTGCTGCTAGATAGGCAGCGTTCATCAGTACATCCCTATTTCTCTACTTTATCCCTACTAATGTTATATGGACCGACGACCTCATAAAGGTAGCAGGAAGGCGCTGGATACAGGCCGTTACCAACCGGCCAATATGGAAATCATTGGGGGAGGCCTATGTTCAGCAGTGGACGTCCTATGGCTGAAATGATGGTGATGATGATAAAAAATACTCAAAGGGGATGTATTTGACTACTTCTCTTTCGGGGAAGTTTGGGGAAAAATGCATGAAATTGCGCGGGAACACAAATTTTACTCTGTCTAGTAATACATTAGAAGTCTTCGCTCTACAGTTTATTAATGAGATACAGTTCCTTGTCATTTACTAGCACTTTAAAACGAGCAGTAACAAACCTATTGAGAACTGCGCAGTACCTAACTGTTGTTTTTGAATACACAATGTCTTCTTTTGAAGTTGAAGTTAGCTATTATAGCGTGATCGATTCTATTCTTGTTTTTGTATGCAGCAAAATAATTTCCTTCTTCCGTGGTCTCTGGGACACCCCAGAGACCACGATGCCACAAAAACAGTAAGCGTCAATATTGGGTTGGCAACACTGAAAAGCACTCCCCATTTATGGATAGGGGTGTCAAAGCACCAGAGTAAACACCCAGACGGCTGCGAATCGAAAATTGAAGTTTCGGCCACAAGAAGTTTAAAACGGATATAAAATTTTAACACTGGTCATACAGGCTGCGTATGACGCTGGGCCCTTACCACCATTCTTAAACAAATATTGAAAATATTTAGTATACGAAAAAGGCAAAGCGAGTTGAATGTTATCAAAGTTTCTAGCGTAGAATTTCATCTCGCACTAAATTATAAATAACTTGAAAAAATCGAACTGGATATGGAGATATTTTATCGTAACTACTGTCACAGAGACGAAAGTCATTGGCTATTTTAACAACTGTGAGTTAAAAGATGAAACGACAAGTTAAAAAATATTATAATGTAAGGTAATGAAAAAAAAATTAGTCATGCAACAGTTTATTGATTTATTTAATGTTGTTGATAAAATAAATGTCATCAATTTAAACATATTATAATGTAAACATTAAAATTAAACAAAAGATCCAAAGCATGTGAATATAGAACATCTACAGCCCTTGTGGTTTGTCAGCCTTTATATGAAACTGAAAATTGACGGCTCCATCTTCGATGTAATGATTATTGGGATCCTGCAACTTGGATATCTCAATGAATTTATCGAAGCCCCAATTTGATATGTCTTTGCTAAACTCAAAATTCATTAGTTTGCTGACAGGTTCACCCTTATCAGCTCGCAAGAGTTTAAATTCTATCTCTGCATTACAAGACCATATTTTAGGTTCATCCCAATTAACCCACGCATACAAACCTATAAATTGTTTATCTACAAGGAAATGAATTTTCCATTTTGTATTTTGAAACGTCAATATGTCGGACCACTTATCTTCTTTTTTGCTGATTACATTATTAATATCCAATACACGGAACTTGAATTTCATCTCGGAGTACCATTCATGCTTTATTTTTCTTGGATCCTTTATATGGGTAAATCCTTCAGGCATCGGAGTCGTTGATTTATCATACGCCACGTTAGCAAGGATTGCGCAAGCGTCCGAGTCCGAGAGAACGGTCGTTGTAGCCCGACCTTTGGCAAATTCCGTAGGAGTTAGAGAGAGAAAGCGAATTTTTTGTAAGACCTTACGAATATCGAGGGTTTCACTGTTCACATTGTTACACTTAGTGATGTGCTTGGCGTAGCGGTCAGCTGCGTTCAAGAGATCTAGCTCACTTTCAACATCTAGGGATTCCAATGAGAACACTGCCACAACCACATCGAGGCACGCTTCTTCAAAGCTGCTGTCAGCGAGCACCACTTTGGTTTTAGTTTTTATCAGCTCTTCGCATTTCTTCTTCAACTCGCTGTCATCTGAATGAAGAACAAGACCGTAAGCTTGGAGAACGTTCTTCGTCGTCAGGTTAGCGGTGATGTACTCCAAGCACGCATTCATCAGATGTGGCATCTGGTATGCCATTGCCGCTACAGCTAAATCACAAGCTGTTTCCGAGTTTACATCCACAGAATCAGTGTAGATGTACTTCAGCATTAACTGAAAAATTTCGGGCTCAACATCGGTCAAGGTTACCTTAGGGTCAGTGCCGGGTGCCTTGAGCTTATCTTCAAGGACTGGAGAAGCTGCTGATATGATGACGCTGTGTCCCAAGACGAGTTGTGCGTTTGTTTTGCCCACCATGAAACTGCAATCGGACAACGCTTTCGTCTCGAACAAGTGCTTCAACCTGCTTTTCGAATCTTTGTGTGGTGATTGCCACGCAGATGCCGTCATTTTGCGGTTATATACGAATTGGTATACAAATACTTATGAAATTCACACATCACTTATTACAGTGAATGACAAATACCAAACAGCCGTCTGCTTTTATACTATTCCAGTTGATTATTTGTGGTCAGCGCGATAAGAGGACGATATTATTAAAATAATTTTTTGTATTGCGAATATTACCACTTTTGATATCAATGACCACAAATACCACAATATTCCTAACCACTAGAACTGATAGTTAGTAATGTAGTGTTTCTACCTAGGTTAGATAACTTCAAGGCTGCTACTTGATAAGAGTCCAATTTTCTGAGGACTGTTTAAAATAGTTTTTTCTTTATATCTACTTCTCCTCTGTCCTTATTCGACGGATACTGTTCCATGGGATCGGCTTTCTCTATCATGCTGCCATCATTTATATCGCTTGTAAGCATCGTCAGTGGAATTGTACAGGCCGAACTACCTCATGAATTTTTGGAAATTTTGTTTTCCTGGTAGTTTGAGGTCTGCCTCTCGCTCTGTTCTGTGCGAGAGAATTTTTTATAACAGTTTTAAGAAGATAACGTAGGCCTCATAAGAAGGCTCAAGGTCACCCAAAGGGCGATGGAGCGGGCTGTGCTCGGAGTTTCCCTGCGTGATCGAATCAGAAATGAGGAGATCCGCAGGAGAACCAAAGTAACCGACATAGCTCGCAGAATTGCTAAAATCAAGTGGCAGTGGGCGGGGCACATAGCTCGTAGAGACGATGGCCGTTGGGGCAGGAAGGTTCTCGAGTGGCGACCACGGGCTGGAAGACGTAGCGTGGGCAGGCCTCCTACTAGGTGGACCGACGATCTGGTAAAGGTCGCGGGAAGAGCCTGGATGCGGGCAGCGCAGGACCGTTCATTGTGGAAAACCTTGGGGGAGGCCTTTGTCCAGCAGTGGACGTCATTTGGCTGAAAAGAAGAAGAGAAGAAGAAGAAGAACGTAGGCACTATCGGCCACAGTGTTAACTATCAATTTCCGTTTTTGCTCTAGATTTCATCAAATGTTGATTCTTTACGATAGAACAAGACGACATGACCGGTAATGGGAAGTTAACACTGTTGCCGATAGTACTGTTTCCATTTTGACGCATCACGACACATCATCGTCATTTCAGCCATAGGACATCCACTGCTGAACGTAGGCCTCCCCCAATGCTTTCCATGTTGATCGATTGGTAGCGGCCTGCATCCAGCGTTTCCCTGCTACCTTTACGATGTCGTCGGTCCACCTTGTAGGTGGACGTCTCACGCTGCGTTTTCCGTCAAGCAAGACACACGTCAAATAATGAATCGTCGTTAAGGTCGTAGCACACTTATCAACTTGGAAAGGCATCAACATCATAATAATATTGCCTGTCGCGAGCTGTAATCGCCTTTGTCAGCCGCGAGGCGAGGCGTTTACGTTACGGTGCGGCGGGTGTGCGTTGCAGTATGGAGTTTCATACAAAGAATACTGACTGCTTCGAGTTGATACCGTTACTATCCCTTCCCGGTTTGATAAGTCTGCTATGATCTTTAACTTTACAATCCTGCATCGAGGTTGGAGAACCATCATTATTAAAATTTCTTAGCGAATAGAGTCGCTTCTCAAACTGAATTTTCGTAGGTCCGAGGCCCGCCTTAAGCAATTAGATTTTTTCAAATTGTTTATTTAAAATCGAGAACCATCGGTACCAGCCGAAGCTAATGCTGCCGGCAGTTACGAGCACTCTCTATTTATGGGCCCCATAAACTGCCTCAGCGCACCTAAGGCACCCCACCACCCTCTGTCATGGCGCCCAAGATTTACTCCGCGCATCAATTGTTATGGAGCTGATGGATTGGGAGAACAAGGTCATCTTGAAGGTGTCGGTGTGCTAGATTAAGTACAGCGTCAAATAGTTCGTTACTCACACCCAAAGTGACCAAAAAGTTATTCCAATCGTAACAAAGACGTGTTGCGAACTTTTTGACTACTTTTTTGGAGCTTAGATTAATAACCTAAGTAAGTATCTAATGTTGTTCATAAAATAAAGCAATTGACCTACATAATTTAACGGCCATATTAACTTTTCCAAGACAGGACAACGTCTGTCGGGACAGCCAGTAGGTATCTAATAAAATTTTTAGACATTCTCATTGGTTACCGACTAATTTACACATAATTGAAATAACAACTGACAGCTAGATTGGCTTTAGTCCTAGTATTTATTGTTACCCTAGCCAATAAAGTATTACTCAAACGCTTTATTTTCCAATAAAAGTTTGTATCGCGTCGGCGATATCAAAAATAATAACTGTTTATTAGCACCCCCCTTCCCCCCACGCACGGAAACACACGAAGTGGTGCGACGGCATCCGACAGCACACGATAATGTCCAGTGAAAATACTCCGCGAAACTGTGCTAGCAATAGGACAAAGAGTTAAAGTGGCTAGATGAGGGATATGTAGTTCCATTCACGAAAACACGCCTTACAAATTTTTGGCCGAGGGAAGCGCGTGTGCGGGGGAGCTTGATCCGAGCAATCCGAACGTCATTATTGTAGTGTTCGTGTGCATCGTCGCCCATAGACACCAACAGACCCAGGGGCGTTATAGGTGCGTTGCTGTCCTTTAAGGTGAATATACGCTCTCCTCTTGAAAGCTTGCAGGTCGTATCCGTCCGGAAACACCGCAGTTATGGATAATATAGCGTGTGCCGATAACACTCAAACATTAGCGGAATAATTGAGGAGCATCTTCGTGGATGAAACGATCTATAGAAAAGTAGTGAAGGGCTACTCCGATGTTTACGTTGTTTCGGATCTATCTGTCACCGTCGCTGAACTAAATGAACTCAGGGATGTTTCCTGGGTAAAAAAGCAAGAGTTTGAATAGAATAGAATAATCTTTATTGCCAAAAACTGTGTACAATTTGTGCTGGTCACAATACAAAAAGTTACAACAGTGTTACCCATATCGGGCATGTAATAGTTAAAATAGAGTAATAAAGTTAGTGTTTAATTATTTTTGGTACCAAAATATTCATTTAGACTTTAAAAAACATTAATTGTTAACTATTTTTTAAGCTCAGATTTAAATTTAGGTTGCTTCAATGCTTTAATATGTGAAGGTAGATGGTTGAATTAGTCCATCAGTTAATTTATCAAAAAATATTCGACACGTTATTTCACTTTTTCAAACTAATGAAAATTGAAAGTGATAAAGCGCGCCAATGTTCAACAGAATAGGCGTAACGTCAAAGAGTGCTTAAACGTGTAGCACTTTGTGACGCGCCTAACTTTTTTTTTGTAATACACCTAATTGACGAACTAAGAGTTTTCTTTTAGGAAACTAGCGTATATCTATACGGTTGTATGAGACCATGTTAGGCCACATCCAGCGACCCTTATCCACGGGCATCCCCATTCACTAGTCGATATGGGGAACATTTAAATGAATACGGCACGAATACTGTCGCCGACTATGATTTGATATTGTTTAGCGGTCTATTATGAGGCGTTTATTATTTAGACTAGCGGCCGCCCGCGACTTCGTACGCGTGGATCCCGTTTTACCCCCTTCATCTATCTTACGCGGTTTAGATTTTTTCATACAAATGTGTTTTCCCGCTAACTCCCGTTCCCGTAGGAATTTTGCAATATCCTATTGTAACTAAGCTTTAAGTTTACTAAGGTACCTGCATGCCAAATTTCAAGCGTCTACCTTAAGCGGTTTAGATTTTTCATACAAACGGATTTTCCCGCTAATTCCCGATCCCGTGGGAATTTCGGGAATTCCTTTCTTAGTGCACCTCTACGGTACCTAAGCTACGTCCCTTCCAAATTTCTAGTGCCTACGTTTAGCCGTTTAGGCTGTGCGTTGATATGTCAGTGAGTCAATCAGTTTCTCCTTTTTAAATATTTAGATGTAAGCTTGAGTACGTCAACCCAAGAAAACACTGTAGGAACTTGTATGGAGGATTTTGCATCAAAAATCTGATGATCATTGTATCTAGAACGACAAATCAAACAAATGACATCTACTGAAAGAGCGTCTTCAAGTGACCCAGTCCTGGACCTGTCAATAGGCCGGCGGCAGCGTCCTAGGGGCGGCAGATTTCAGATGACGCTTACTCGATTTCAGAAGATAAAAGAAGTTCAAACATAACCCTCCTTTTGGCGCAGTCGGTTATAAGAGAGCAGCGGTGAAAAGTGCTCTAGTAACGGACGAAATTTTGCCAGACAAGTAGCCAAGGTATGAAACGACCCGTGAGACAGATGATATTGTGTAACTATTAAAACGGATTAGTTCATGTTTGACACTAAAAATGAAGGTAGGCTTAGCTGGAGTGGAAAATTTTCAGGAAAAAATTGAGTAAACCTATGTCTGCAAAAATCATTGCCAAATACCATGATTTTATAGGACTTAGTTGAAAAGAAACATTGCTAACAAGTGAACATTTTAATGAGAACGAAATCTAAATATTTATTCTCTCTTACTGTCTAAAATGTACCTAATGATCACATCGGTTGACTGGAAGAAATCTCTGTTTATCGATAAGCTCACTACCCTTTCCTATAATTTCTTGACGTAATCCTATGTGTTATTCTATGTACGATGTCATGAGTAAGTAAAAATACGCATAAATCAACAAAAGACTCTCTTGAAGAATCCGAGCCCAACTCAATAAACATCGTGCCGCAATCGTCACGTGGTCGTGTCGGCGCCGTTACGTAACGGTTTAACGCTAATAAGATTTGTGGCACAAAATACTAAACAGCCTTCAGGCGTGGTGGATTGTAGAATGTTAGTAGGAAAGGGTTAAGGGGTTTGATTTCCTAGCAGTACAATAAGTTGTAGCTGACTTTGTGACCAGGTACTGCTAGTTCGTTTCATCCAAATGACGTCCACTGCTGGACAAAGGCCTCCCCCAAGGATTTCCATAACGATAGGTTCTGCGCTGCCCGCATCCAGGTTTTTCCAGCGACCTTCACCAGATCGTCGGTCCACCTAGTCAAGTGGGAGGCTTGCCCACGTTACGTCTCCCGGCCCGTGATCGCCACTCTAGAACTTTTTTGCCCAAACGGCCATCATCTCTACGAGCAATGTGCCCCGGATCTCCTCATTTCTGATTCGATCACGAAGGATATACATACAATGCAATTGGAATAATGTTATATTTTGGAGTAAGCATTAAA